GGCCCCTGATCTCTGAAGGGAAACAAAAAACAGTTCAAGTTACACTGTAACAGGGGTTCCAGATGTTGGGGTCAATTGAATATTTTTAATTATTAACTGATAATTTACAGATTTTTCAGCACTACATTTTATGCATTTTCATGATAATACAGGTAATTAAATGACCATCGAATATGTTATCTCATTTCACATAACTGATTAAAATCAAATTGCTGTAGTAGTTTGAGTGTTTTTACCGATTAAACAGCAAGAAGAGCTAATAGGATGGCATCCAGGGACGGTCAAAAGAGCAAGCACTTGACTTGATCAACAGAAAAGAAATTAAGTTTTAGTTACACTGTAGCAGGGAATTTGAGTTATCGGAGTTTGAGTTTACAGAGTACAAACGACTGATAAAGGGGGGTCAAATCTAAGGGAAATGGGACTTAAATTGAGTTAGCAGGTGAGTTTAAGTTATCCAACTCAGATTTACCAGAGTTCTACTCTCACATTTTAGGAGAAATAATTAATGAAATATTAATGGACTTTAATTCAGTTTCAATAATAAATTACAAAAACTATTTTATGAAGAAAATGTGAAGGGCTGGAAAATTAGTTGGTGGTCATTACGAGCACCATCTAAAGGAGATTGCAGAAGTGTGTACTCTGATCATTTTCGAACAAAAGACTACTTAAATTACCTGAAACTGGACTAGGTTTCACTCTGGCTACAAGCTACAAATAACAAAGAAAAGTAAGTAAATAATATGTAATCACTGTCAGTGTTCATTAATTTTTATTTCATTGACAAGTTTATCATGAGAGTAATTTTCTATTCTGTAACCAGAAACATTATTATAACCCTGAAGTGTCTAACTTCTCCTTATTGGTTAAGAACCATGCTTGATTTTTTTTTTGCTGTCGATCAGAAGCATAGAAATCTATTTGCCCAAATAAGGAATCAGAGAATTGTAGGCATCCATGTCATCACACTTTTTGGTGTATTTGTTTGCCGTCATTGCACGGCAAATTTCAGGTTTCATGGAGAACGGAAATAAACGACCACAAACTTTTCTTTCTCTTTCTGAATACAGCTGTATGCAGATGGTTCTTACAAATTCAACTCCAGGAGACTTGTCAATGTTTGACGAAGTGAGAGAGCTGGAATAATCATGCTGATGTTTCAAGGAATGCAAAGTCACTTTGTAAGCAACGTTTTTTGCCACCATCATGACCTTGACAGAGTCAGCAGATCAGAGTGCGCAGCTGAAGGAATTTTTCCTTTTTTCTTACGTCCTGCATCTTGACAGGTGAAGTAGGTGTACCTGAGTTGAGTGGCCTATTTTGTGGTTGTTTGAAGTTCTACAGCGACATTATTAAAGTCATGTTTTGATTTATTTTCTGAACAAATGCAGTAGTCACACATATCATGCACAGGCTTAGTAACTCCGACTACATATATTAAATCTTGGAAATCAACTATAGAGTTGAAATGGATCTGTGAGCCTTGTCATGAAGGGAGTCCATGATAGGACTCTGCAAAATAGCAGCTGCAAAAATGCATTGATGTTCATGGTTTGGGAGTTTGCCCAGACATTTAGTGCCAATGAGGAAAATTCGTTGCCGAAATTACGTAATTAAAACAGACTTGTCTGATTTATAAATCTTTGTTGACAAGTTAAATATTTTCAATAAATGTCACCAAAGTAATAAGTCAATCACTTTGTGAATAATTATTACCTTGTTATCATTTTGTGTAGGGCTACCTGCTGGCTGATAAAAGTTGTTCCTTAAGAGAATAAACAAAGTAGTTAGTTTAGCACTTATTTTCTGTTGGTATACCATGACATGAGTGTGTGACTTAATCTATTCACACTTACAGTTTTTGTTTATTAAAAGGACACACCCTCTAAATGGGCACTAGAACCCATTTCAATAGCCTTTAGGCACAATTAATTAGGCCAATACACTTATTTTTGCTGGAACAAGACCCATTTTTGGCAAATCAAATAATGATTGTTAAGTTATTGTAAAGTACCATAGAATCTCGATAACTTGAACTTGGATAACTTAAAAAAAAAGTCTCACTTCCTTTGATTTTCAGTTTTTTTTCACTCACTTAACTTGAAACTTGGATAACTTGACTTCCCCTCTAACTTGAACTTAATTTCCTTTCCTTGATCAAAGTTTTACCGAAATTTACCCCAATAACTTGAATTCTGGTTCTTGTAACCCCACTCAGATGCCTGCCCACTAACAACTCTTCTCTTGTACAATTGGTAAAAACACTAAAACTAACACTACCAGCAATTTGTTTATTATTGGTGCAACAAGCAGATCCTGTTATATCATAAAAATGCATTACAATGTTACTATTTCTGATGAAATAAGTTAGAATTTCCACTGTACTATACACCGAAGCACTGAAAAATCAGTAACTATTAACATGATGGCAAATTGCATAATTCAATCTATCCTGATAACTCAAACCCCTGCTAACTTGAACTGGTTTTTGTCTCCCTTCAGAGTTTTAGCTACCGAGGTCCTACTCTAATAGCTTTACAAAACAAGATATTGAATAATGAAAGGAAATGTCTTATATTACTGTGAATGCACCACTAACATGGGCTTTAAAATCTGCACTTATTTTTGCTATGGGAATAACAAATTATTTATTACATATTACATGTAATAATGCAATAAATTAACACAGTTACATGAAAGAAATAATAATTTAATTGTAGTAATACTCACATTCCAGATCTGTAGACAGCTGGCTCTTCAACAATTTTTACTTTTCCTGGTCTTGTTCCTACAAACCAGACCATAACCATTTTTCACATAATCATAAAATGGTGATAAATGTATCATTCTCAAAACCTTTTTAATATTAACACGCATGGTGAGTTAATGCAGAGTTGTGACCTAGTATATACCGGTAGTATTCCCAAACTGCTTGCCCTGAACAGCTTTTCCTAAATGTAGATAGTGTGAATGTACAAGTATTATGTATTTCCTTTGCATTCAATAAAGTTGCTTGTTGTTGTGGCCTTAATTTCAGCTGACTTCTCGGATACTCCCGAGAGAAACATCTGAATCAGTAAGCCACCGATGCCATCCAGTGGCATTACTCCCCGAACAAACACTGCCAGTCCTCGGCCCTTGGCCTTTGTTATATTGAGGTCCACTGTATTTGCAGTGTATGGATAATTATGAGAAATTTTAGGAAGACTGTCATTTGATATTCAGTGGATTGCATTCTCACGTGGACTTCAAATTCCAGCCATCTTTATCATAAACAGCAAAAACAGCCCATGTCTTCAAAACTATGACTTGTTAATTGAACTACATCTGTACAGCACCACTCAAAAGTAAAGTTGACATTCTCGACTCCAAACTTGAGACTTGATTGCTCTAATGAATCAAGTTTCAAGTTTCCAGAAACCAGCATTTTTGAGTGTTCATCACTTGAAAGGATTTATTTCTCGAGAAATATAAAAAATAGCCATTTGCACTACAGCGAAAATTCACACCAACCATCAGCGCTTAACACGCACAGGGACGACAGAACAAACGGTTGTTTATCTTGAATTATGGATAATCGCGTCTTTGTATTTTTATAAGAATTCTATCTTCTGAACTATAAGAGATGTTTTATCAAATGTGTGAAGGTATGTAAGCTTTTAGAATTTAAATACCTTTGTCATGATGGTGTAGATAAATAATGGGAGATATGATCTTGAAGAATGATAGCCGCCGTGAATCTTTTAAAAAAAAACTTTCATTTTTTTGCACGCAGTTCAAGAATTATCACAAAATGTATCATAAAATTAGAAAGGCACAGGTAAAGCCAACAGAAAAGTATAAAAGAAATTTCGAGAATTGAGATGCCAGTGACTGTCAACCTTTTTTTGAGCGGCAATGTATGAATGAAGAATCAATGTGAAAAGTCGATGGATTTTTAGAGCTGCTTTGTTGCTTCAAAGGTTATTTCATTTATGCAAAGCATTAGTGATTGATTTTTACGAGATTAATAATGAGCTTGTGTGGAGCTAGGAAATTTTTTAACTTCCTGTCATTTCTACTGTTGTGTGCAATGATTCTGTTAGTTTTTCTTTCTTTGCTCGGTTGCTTTCTTTCTTCTTAAAGACCAAATAGCTTCTTTTAAGATTAATAAAAGCAAATTGAAGAAAGTGCTCAGTGTGTATTTCATTCTTACTCGGTCGTGATTGAGTTTGATCTTTGAATTATGGCATTCTATAAGTAAAAGATTGGTTGAGAATACGGTATGTAGTTGACATTTCAAACGCTTACCAGGGATTACACCTAAAGAGTAAAGCAATTCTGGACCATATAGATCTTGTGCGGTCAAGAATGAATTAAAGCAAAGGAGAAGTGATGTCACTGGATAACATTAACAGCTAATTGATTCAGACATGTCTATCTGGAGTATTCAATGATCATGACTTGAGGGTACGGCTGAAATTCAGGCTATTGTTATTCTTGTTGTAACTATGAAAGTTAACTTCAAGGGGACTCCTCATTTTGTGAGTTATCCTTTGCATATTACAACAGTGAGTTATCATGATGTAGTAAGAGACAAAATCTTGAGTTCCACAACTTGCTGCGAGATCTTGAATTTATAACACCTTAAGCAAGAAATTGATTTTCCGCATCTTTCTTGAAAGATGATCAAGATGTTGACATAAGCAAGATCATTACGTCAACATCTTGGTTCATGAAAATGTTTTGAGAACAAAATCCAAGCACTCCAACAAAGAGCGTGAACAATGCCACCTTGTTAAACCCATTTCAAGAGGAGGGAGAAAAGGCTGCCACTTCAGTGACTATTCAGACTTAATATGAAACTCACCATGAAGTAAAAAAAGCAGCATCAAAGTCGACAGAAACCTTCGAGACATCGCCGCCATATTGGTTTCCTCCACGGCAGATGCGCCCGCCTACTGTTTGACCAGCAGCACAGGCTTGTTCCCAGTACTTCGCCTCTGCGTCAATTTAAAATGGCGGCAAACAAGAGAAAGTTTACGGTTCCATCTGTGGATAATTTGGACGAGAGAAAGGAAGTGTCAAAGCCAAAATCGTTATTTAATGTTTACAAGAAATCCACTGGAAGTGTTCAGGAGACAACAGATGATTCTTTCCCGAGGGCTGGTCGTGCTAATGATCTTGACAAAACTGAAAGCTCTCTGAAAACGATCCAAAAAGAAGTAAGCTTAGTACAGTCTCGTGAAGAAAACGATTCGGGACAAAGGACAACTGTGGAGGATAATTGTCTGCTAAATCACGAATCTTTAGTTAAGGAGGCTGTGTGTCCTGCTGAGAACAGCCTTCCATCAGCAAATGACAGTGGAACTGTGAAACCTGCTGTTGTAGGAAAGACTTTCCGTGAAACGTTTGCTTTCCTAGACAATACAAGTCACTATAAAGAGACGGTTGCAAAGATAAAGGAAAAAGAGTATGTTATAACTGGTTTATTTACCTACAATGACCTCGTCAAGCTGCGAAATCGCCACCAAGAAATATATATCTTAATACGTATCGAAAGGACAAGTCTCTATAAAGAATTCTTTCACTTTAAATATACAATGAAATTTAAAGATGTAAGGTTAAAGTGACAATATTTACTTACTTTCATGAGACAGGCTGTTGAATTTTAAACAAATCGCGCCTCTCGCGCGGTGCAAATAAGCCGTATTAAGCTATAAAAAAGTCGCAATTATTCACAAAAAATATAACTAAAGATGAGAAATTCGATGCAAGGTGTCAATTAAAATTGATAAACTTATATTTGCATTGTGCTCGAGGAAGAAGTAACAATCGCGGGAAGTAAACAGTGTCAATTATTGCTGAGTTAGTATGTGGTGGCAAGTAGACTTCTTGGTGGTGATTTCGTTGGTGGTGAGATGGTTTGGTGGCGAGATGACCATAAACCACAATGTTATATCAGCCTCTCTCCATTGGTCTAGTGATCTGTGCCTTTAAAAATTTTACCTGATGCACCTGTATAATGTACACATAATTTATGAAAAGAAAAAGGAAATTTCTTGTGACAAATTTTCTGGGGTTCATCAAATGATATTTACTTGGAAAGGGTACTTAAAATTCCCTACTTGTTTGTCCTGGAAGTGGGACACTGTTTGAAGCCTTAAGAGAAGGGCATTGGCCACTTAACTGAGCAAGTCTTATCAGAAATGATACCCAGAGGTTAACTGGTATCCCCAGTGACAGGATGTTGAGGACTGCTGCAGCAGAAAAGCAGCGGCCTCTGTAATTTGATAAAGAGGCTTCTCTCTTGTGTTCTTGCATTTAACACCACTCTTCCTTTGCAGATCAACTATAGATACCAGAGTTCATCCTGGTCCAGTCAGTAATAAGCCAAAAAGTAATGCAATTATTGTAAATCCAAGACAGGTAATTCCCAAAAGACCACTGTTTAGTAATGTTTAGGGTCCCTGTACAAGTCTTTGACTCTGCAGGAAAAAATTGTTTAGATTTTTCAGTTGCTGAAACTAGTCTTAGTCCAAAACAATGTTTTCTTTCACATCTAGACAGGTAGCAGAATTTGTATGCTTGATTTTCATGCCAAATAATCCTGGTAATGTAAGTGAGACAAAGCAGTATTGATCTTGATGGCAGTCAAAGAACAATGATGATAAATGATGTTATAATACTGGTCAGGGAGCTGCTCCCATGAGCATTTCCTAAAACAGGTCGTATGTGTCAGTGTAAGGAGCCTTTATCATTGTGCATTATTTGTAATGTTTTCCCTTGAAATTTCTAGAAAGGAAATCCAGTACTAAAGCATGTCAGGAATGTCCCATGGGAGATGGGTGACATCATTCCTGATTATGTTCTGGGTGCTACAACTTGTGCATTATTCCTAAGGTACATGTATGGACTTATTTTACTTTCTATTAAAAGCTAAAAGTAATTGTCATGCCAGAAAGGGGACGGATTAATAAGAACTATGCTGAAAATCCGCAATGGACATAAAGCCAAGGGAACATGTTTTTTGTTTTGTTTTGTTTGCTTTTGTTTTTGACCAAGAAAAAGGTTTCATTGTTTTATTTCTTTACAGTTTAAGGTACCATCATTTCAATCCAGAGTACATTCATGAAAGACTAAGGCAGCTGGGACAGAGATTTGAGTTAAGAATACTTCTGGTTCAAGTAGATGTGGTATGGCAGTAGGATTAATTTTAAGTATTATTTACTAAATATTATTTGTTTTGAATTAATGTTTTACATGGGATTATTGAAGGGGCAGGATATGCTATACTGTACGGGGCCGGTGTATGTAGGAATGTGCATACTTACAGTTCAAGATATGCAGGCAATAAAAATCGCTATAAATCTGCTGGTGACAAAATTTAAAATTATAGGCAAACAGTCAATTTGTTATTCAATTTTATTATCCATGGCAATAGTCCAGTCTCGAGTTAGCTATGATCGCTGAATAAAAGAAGTGAAGACGCATTTTTTTACAGGCTTAGCCTCTACCAGGAAATTGAGTAGCGGTAATTTTGATTTTCAGTGGACAAAAACCTTGTACCAGAATAATTTAAAGCATATTGCCTTCCTTTTTACATTTTTCAAGGCCGAAAGAATATGTAATTAGTCATCTGTAATAACACCAAAGAAAATTTCTTATGGGAGCCCAAGAAAATGAATGTCAAATTTCACAAAATGACATCTAAAACATGAAGTTTTCAAAATTTTACCTGTTTTTACACAATTCTTGTGAAATTTGACATTCATTTTCTTCGACTCCCATGAGAAATTTTCTTTGGTGTTATTACAGATGACTAATTACATCTTTAGCCCTTGAAAAATTTCAAAAAGAATGCAATATTCTTTCATTATTATTCCGCTACAAGGAGTTTGTCCACTGAATATTAAAATTACTCAATTTCCTGGTGGATATCTGTCTTAATACATTTATTTCAGGTTAAATTTGACTTCAGGTTGATTTTGATTTAACCTAGGTTGATTATCAATTTCCTCTGTCTCCTTGCCCTTATTCATGAATAACTAGGGCTAGGAGATAAAAGGAAATAGAAAATCAACCAAGGTTAATTAACAGTTAATGAATGAGGCTGAGTATCTTATGAAGAATTATGGAGATCGAGGAGGGTGTTATCGGGCGGATAACACCCTCTGAGATCTCCATAATTCTTCATATGATACGAAAGCCGAATTCAATACCTGTTTTATTATTCATTCAAAATAAGTCCTAGTTTAAAAACATAGCTAAAACATGCTTACCTCCATCGATCCATCGATGTTCAGTTCATCTTCGATAGTGTACGTTTAGGTTTGTCCAGCTCCGCAAATATTCTCCAAAATATATAGCAGATGTCGCCCTCCAAGTTGTCTTCTTGCTGTTCCTGCCATGTTTTTAGCTATATTTTCACCTTGTTCTTCTTGAAACGAGTGAAATGTCCGCCATTTTTTCAAGTTCACAACCAAAACAACTCAACCTAGTCCCCAGGTCTTCTCGGTTAACGGTACCTTAACCTGCGAAAACGCTGCATTTTTGATGTCATTTCCTCGTTAAAGTCAAAATTCTTCCAAATTTGGTCATCAGTAACTGGTTATGGTGAATTAAACGTGTGCTTTTAGCCAATCAGAATCGGGGAAATATTTTGAATGAATAATAATAAATTTTAACCTGAATTTAATTTTGACCTGTAAAATATTCACAAATTCCAACCAGAAGAAGACCTGGTTATTGCTCTGTCTATTGTGTATTTTTCAAATTTCAAACACTTACTTACTTATTTGTGAATATTTTACTTTATGTTGAGGTTAACCCCTTTAATGTTTGTATTCAGCTTTAATTTTTAATTTTTGAACTGGACTATTGACCTCTGGTACAATCACCCTATGCACCCTTAAATATTTGAATTTAATATATGTTTTTCCTCTCAAAGCGTCTAAAAGCACAGTTTTATTCTTCCCACACTGCAGACTCAAGAGACTGTTTTTCTTTGTTTTCTCCTTATAAATTACATATATTCTTTGTTTTGTAGATCTTAAAATAACTTGGTTGGATTCTTTACAGCATATTCTTTTCAACTGTTTTAGAACTAGAAATTAAAAGGCTTAGGACTAACTAAAAAACTGACCAGTTAACTACGCTTCTATGCTCTAATAACACACTGTATATGTTGCAGTTATCTTGTGGGTTTATTTTTGTACTCAAATTTTAACTTATTAAATTACTGGTAACCTGAAAGCGCAACAAATTATTTCTTACAACCCTCTCTGCACCATAGTGATAGATTTTAAGCATTTTAAATAAATTGTGGTTGTGAATGTACATGTAGTCATCACGCAAATTGCAGCAGTTTAGGAATAAAACATAATTCTTCCAAACATTTGTGGAAAATTAAAGTCAAGGAAAACAGTAGTAAGTACACACTGCCAACTACTGGCGTGCTCTTGAAAATACTGAATCATAAGGAATGAACCTTAATAGACGTCACTTGCAATGTTGGGTAAATGTTTTTCTTGTATTCAGTGACTTCAGTCATGGCTGACTGTACCCTCATTTTTTTTTTCAGAAAGATCCCCACCAGACACTAAGAGAGCTTGCTAAGATGGCAGTCATGGCTGACTGTACCCTCATTCTTGCTTGGAGGTCACTAAAAATTAATCCTGATTTTAAGAAGAGTTTTGACATAAACCAAACCAAACTAACCCTGGCCAGTCACATAAGACAGATATATCATAACAATGTTAGCGTCAAGTGGTCAAAGTTGAGTCTTTGTTACTTGTTGGAAGTAGAAAGTTGTGTGAGTTTTTTAAGCAAAATCACTTTTAAATCGGAACAGTGTAGGATAAAAGCAGTGATAAAATATCTTCTGGTTCCATTGAATTGAGAAAAGCCTTCTAACATCATTACCTGTGAATTTCAATCTGATTTTGGGTGGCTTCTACACTTGGATTTCTAACAGAATGAATGTCAAACTGGAGAAATTGTTGGCAAATACTCTTGATTACAGGGAAGTACAGACCACTTAATCTTGATGGGCTGTTATCACTGNTGACTTCAGTCATGGCTGACTGTACCCTCATTTTTTTTTTCAGAAAGATCCCCACCAGACACTAAGAGAGCTTGCTAAGATGGCAGTCATGGCTGACTGTACCCTCATTCTTGCTTGGAGGTCACTAAAAATTAATCCTGATTTTAAGAAGAGTTTTGACATAAACCAAACCAAACTAACCCTGGCCAATCACATAAGACAGATATATCATAACAATGTTAGCATCAAGTGGTCAAAGTTGTGTCTTTGTTACTTGTTGGAAGGAGAAAGTTGTGTGAGTTTTTTAAGCAAAATCACTTTTAAATCGGAACAGTGTAGGATAAAAGCAGTGATAAAATATCTTCTGGTTCCACTGAATTGAGAACAGCCTTCTAACATCATCACCTGTGAATTTCAATCTGATCTTGGGTGGCTTCTACACTTGCATTTCTAACAGAATGAATGTCAAACTGGAGAAATTGATGGCAAATACTCTTGATTACAGGGAAGTACAGACCACTTAATCTTGATGGGCTGTTATCACTGCTTTATCATGAAAATATTAGTCTGCTACACAGCTGTTTTTAGTGTCGTCACGCAACGCTCCTCCCCACTAATGGCTGCTGAAAATCGAACCACATTTGTTACCCTTTGTGTTTGTGGTCTAGTGAACAAACCAATCATGTATAAGAAACTTGACAATGCTAGAGCCGCAGGGCGCTAGGAGCGAACACGCTTCTCAGTTTTGGACAAATCAATCAATCGTCGCTGAATTTTGATGGGCCCTAAGTCTGCAAGCAACAAAAAGGTTGTTTGCAGAAAAGTTTGTTTTAAGCGGTTAACAAAATTCCAAGTGAAAAAAAAAGAGGTTTGATAGGCCTACAAGACTCTTACCAGGATCGGTTGGTTCTTTTTAACGTGCATATGTATGATGAATTTCATGTGCCAAATGTGCTCATTGTGTTGTTGTACACGTGAAGCTAAGACTGTGAAGACTAAACTCCCAGGGGTACTGATTCAAACAAGAGCAATCTTATAAATTATCAATAAGCCATTTCCCGAACCTGTACCCAACAACTTTAAAAGCACATCCATGTTGTGCATCATATTTGCTCAACTGGCTTGCTGTTGCTGCTTATCCCAAAAATTTTGAAAGGACTCGACTACGACAACACTACTCTAGTTGATTGCTTGTTTTCACGTGACAATTTTGATTGTTCTGTCATTCACACATGGGGCAACGATAAAAGCAAAGCTGTGACTGGAGGAGTCACTATACCACAAACGTGGCGTGAACACCTTCCAGAAAATGGGAGCTGAATTCTAATTGGCTAATTGTGGGAAAGTAATGTGGTTCGGTTTTCAGCAGCCGTTAGTGGGGAGGAGTGTTGCATGACGACACTAACAACGGCTGTGTAGCAGACTATGAAAATATAGACAATGATCAAAAGTGTCAAAGGTTTTAAATTGCTGAACAAGTTCTCCTCATCAGTATCAGCTGGGGAAAAGTGTGTGGAATATACATTCTTTTACATTAGGACTAATAGGATAAAAAGGTTATTGTGATGACTAAATCAGCCTAATCCTGAGGAACCACGTTTCTAATAATGTGTGTTTATTGTCATAGTCCTGAGGAGGCTGGAAGATACCTTGAAACCTACAAAGTTTATGAAAACAAGCCACCAGATGCCCTTCTTGGTCAAAGTGAAGGCGATTATCTCAGTAAGGTAGTGCTTAATTTTTGTAGCCTGCTGTACAGCTCACTTGTATTCTTTGGCAATTATATTACTCGCCTGGACACATTCTTCAAAGCCTGTGGGAGCATCCGGTTTTTTCGGCTCAAGTTTCTAGTTTCACCCACCAAGAAAAACTAGAAACTTGAGCTGAAAAATACGGATGCTCTCGCAGGCTACATTCTTGACTGATAATGTTGTTTCTTTAATAGCTCACAGACTGTCTGACTACAGTGAAGGGTGTCAACAAGACTGATGTGGTCTCTCTTACTTCCACATTTGGGGTAAGCATTTTAAATAAATTATATAACCCCCCTTATGTTTTATAAATAATTTATGGCAATGTGGTGGGGTGTAGTCATATTTTTCAATCTTTTTGTTGTTATTGTGCATGTATTTTCCTCCAACCTCTATTAAGCCCCTAGTTAACCTATCGTAAAACATATGTTACACAAATACTGTATTTTTTGGTAAAATTTCATAATTTATTTTAAATTGTATGATTATATTAGGTGGGATTGATTTTAAAATTACTTGATGCATAAGTGGCACCACTGAATCAAACTGAGGAGTTTTTTGGCAACCTACATATAGATGGTTTTTGATATGTACCATATGTTATGTTTTATCCAAGAGGAAGTCAATATTTTTTTATTGTAGGTCTAAAAAAATACTAGGGTGACAACTTCATCTTCAAGTCATGATAACTATGCAAATATTTGTTATTTGATAGTCCCTTGCAAACATGACAACAGCTTCAAAGGATGACCTTGCATTGCTTCCAGGATTTGGGCCTCTTAAGGTACATAGTTTTTGGTATACTGTTATTTTAAGTCAATAAATTTTGTCAGATTTGCAAAAAGCCTGCGGAACCAGAGTGCAAACGAATAATTATTGGTAATTTCATTTATATTTATAATTTTTTTTTCTCCTAGCATCAACTTAGGGTTCAGAAACACGTTTTTGTTGAGGACATATTTTGATCAATTTAATTTCTTCATGTTTATTATTCAAGGGTAATCAGAAGACTTTGATCCTTCAATTTTGAATTTATTTGCACCCATGTGTTTTCCAAAAAGCTCAAACTGCACACAAAAGACACACGGGTGTAAATAAATTCCAAATTGAACTCTAAGTTGTATCATAACTCGTACTAATACTATTCGGTTTGTCTTACTTTAGGCCCAGAGACTTCACAATCTAATTCAGCAGCAATTTATTGCAAAGAGAAAAACAGGACTAGGAGATGGAAAGGAACACTAGCTTTATTGTCTGTTTTCTAAATTACTGTCCCTGCTATAAATAGTTCCCTCCTGGAACTTTAAAGACAGTCCGAATCATGATCAGAATCATGATCTAAGTTATTTATTTTTCCAGCTGACTACTTCATCAAATTTTGCTCATATATAAGAAATGTATGTAAATAGTTGCCTTGGTTGCACATCCAACATGTCGTACACTAATTAACTGCTACAGTACAAGTCCTGGCAAACTCTAAGTTTTATAAAGGCTGTAAATAAGTCTTCATGAGATGTGAATATTGTATAATGAATGAGATATTATTATCTTTTTATTGATCTTTATAATTAATAAAAAAATGTCAGCTTTTTTCCATCGGATAAAAGCAGTAATGTCACATGGTTTCTCAGGGGACAAACAAGTGAAAAACTAATGCCATTACAATGCAATTACTTGTATTGGCAAATTTTATCACTTGTTTGCTCCATGAAATACCACGTGACATTGCTTTTATCACATCGATCCTAGAGTGCGTGCAAAAATGGCAAGTATCTCGAATAAGGTCTATTGCACCATGATAGTTATCTTACTACAACTACCAGAATCCTTCAGTTTGTTGTTTTCTTTTGCAAACTAGGGCTCCAAGCGGGACTGACGAATTTAAGTAAGGAAGAAAGAACGAAATGAGTTCTGTTAGTTGTAGTCAAATACCGTGATCATGAAAATGGCCAGTTGCTATAGAACGAAACTTATCGGACCCCTATCGACGAGAGAAAATTTGTACAGACTCTCAGGGAGGGGCAGGTTAGACTCTGCAAGGCTAAGACTACTATTTCGCAAACTGTATCACTGAATAAAATTTCGTGCCTTGTTTCAAAATAAAGCCTAATACAATGTGTAAAAAAATCAGTTAGTTTTATCCTGTGTTTAGCTAGCCTTCTACGCAGACATTCTTTTGGCGTAGGAACGTGTCAGCTGGTTATAGCGGAGTTCCACAGTATGACCTCATCGTCTAACTCTTTGTCAGGTCTGTCCTCAGCACTGGAAATCAAACTGACTTCAACTTTTTAAATGAACGCTTCCAAAACACACAGTCGAACCCTGCTTTATCGACACCCGCTTAATACAGACACCTCTTTATTAGAGGGGCGCAAGGGGAGGGGGGGGGGGGGG